CGTCAGCGAACCTGCTGTGACCGTACAACTACAACGTGGGTCTCCGCCCACGGCATCTACTACGTCATATCATATCGGGTTTCTTTTACACTCGAAAGACGGTGAACATTTAGCCTACTTAAATAGACTAACAGTTTAGTAAAATTCACCAGGGTTTATCGTTTTTATCAACAAAGGCGGGTCAGCCAATCAATTACATTCTGTTCTTTTGGTGTCTTGGGTAACTGGTTTCAGTTCCTTCTGAATCATCGACAGGCTTACTAATTCAATTCTGCCGAAAAAAGGATGACTAATGCCTAAAATAAACTTTATCGGCAAGGGTATGCGCCTATGGAATAGTGGTTAGAGTGTTGGACTTTAAACAAGGTTGTGTGTTCGAGCTTCGGGGGTCGTCTCCCCTGGGTTTGGGTATGGCTGGCTGATGACGGCTAATAAGCCACATGTACTTGGGGCTTGAACTCGTTCTTTCGGTTATTAGTTCAATGTTCTAGCTCTTGATCTACAAACTCATTGTCCTCTTGGTATATATGCTATGTTTAGGATATTTGACCAATAATTAAGAGGACCTGAGTTTCAACTTCAGATGTCCCCTAAACCTGATAGTTGGGTAAGCATGACTAACGACAGCTAATAAACAAGAAGTGGTCATGCCAGTCTCCCTCGTCTTCGTAGGCAGTCGTACTCTGCAGAATGCTTTCAGTTCACTCAGACTAGTGTCTGTTATTTATGGTCTTGTGAGCGAAACACGTGATCTTCGCAAATTTCTCAGTTCCGACCATAACCGCATAGCCGTTACTTTTGACCCACTATTAGCGAAAAAAGTCGGATGATATGGCTTAAAAAGTATTGTGCAAGTACAACTGCCGGCTCAACTCTTCAGACCTTGGCATCGGCATTCATCTCAGTATAAATGTCCAGTGGAAGTTTCACAAAGGTAGGGTCGGTCCTGTGTCATCTATCCATTATGATGACGCTCCAGTCTTGCAGTTATCACAAAGTAAACCACTTCTGTGCTCCCTCTCGTAGATAGTACCCAGCTAGTCGTATTTCGTAGGCGTAAACCCTCATTTTTCCAGGAATTTCAGAATACCTTTTGTTTATTTGTTCTCTTGCTGCTTATTCTTATAGGCGGTCGTGGAGGTCCCGGCGGCAGAGGAGGAGGACGCAATAGCAACTTCCCACGTGGTGAAGGAGGCAACCGCGACTTCAATGGCCCCAGGGACTTTGATAATCAAGCCTTTCGGTCTGGAAGGCAAAGTAAATCCCTCTTGTTTTGCTGAATCACGGATT